ATTTATTTTTTTTTTAAATTAATTTAAAATTATACTCACTTTTGATCTTCTGGAAAGTAAAGAAGTGCCAAAAGTGTTGGATCAGAAAAGCAGCTTCGGAAATAATGAAAGCTTCTTTGCTGAGGACAAAACTATATTCGAGATTGCCTCGTCGCAAATGCTCGGCGGATTCGTATACTAGCTCGAGTGCAGTCTTGATTCTAGTTCCCACTACGTCTGTGATAACGATATTACTGATCTCTTTAAGTAGTCGCGCCAATGACTGCAAAGTCAATTTGGCCGAAGTTAACTGTTCAACAGTACGATATCTCAACAAGGAATCAATCTCCCAATCACGTGATTTTAGTCCCACTAACGGCACTACCGTCACTCCATTAATAGATTTCTGAAATTGATTTTTTCTTAAATTATCTAAATTATCATAAAATTAAATTCGATAATACATCTTATCGATGAAACGATATTATATAAAAAAATAGCAAGTATAAATAGTAAGTATATAAATTTGAATAATTAAAACAATTATAAATAGATATAGTTTTGCATAATAATTTACACACACATGTGCGCAATGTAAGCATATCGGCATAAACATATGAGATTCAAGCTTACATAATTGTAATATTTTAATTTCTATTTTTAATATTTTTAATTTCCATTTATCAATATCTAAAAATAGAGGTATCATGGGAAGCATTTAATTTAATTATAGTATTTGATGAAAGTATTGTCTCTGTATTTTTTTCTTACGTATATTCTGTCTAGAATTTGATCGATTCGGTCATTATTGAGATTCGATCACGGATATTCTCAACTCTCGGCTCGTGTAAAGAGACACGACCGGTCTCACGGAAATCTATGTACGCACACAGGCATAAAAATAATACAAAGAATGAATATACGTAGAAAAAAGCAAACAAATTTCAAGTAATGTAGCCAACTTAAAATAGTTTCCATTGATAATATCTCTATATATTAATAATTTTTTGTTTATTTGTCAAACAGAATATAAATTGTTAGAAATGAATATTATCATGTTTGACTAATAGGAAAACACGAATTAATACATTCATAATTGATACATTCAATAATAATAATTTACAATATTAGATGTTTAACTTCATATGTAATTTCAATACCTCAACTAATAGATATCAAAATGACATTAGAATTTAGTCAGAAAATGGCAAAAAATGATCAATGTAACAACGTTAAATAACGAAATTGTTATAGATCGATAATGATATTTTTACACATGTTATTAAAAAGTCTCTAAAAAATATAATAAATAAAGTCATAAAATCACATGTTAAAAACATAATATGTTTTTAATAAATTTGTAATTAAAGTAAAAGTAGTAATATGGTTAATACACACACGCACACAAATTTATGTAAATTACATAAATGTTTATATATGTATATAAAATGGATCGGTATTATTCTGGATCGGCTCGGATGTTGCTCGACGAATTATCCAAGTTCGGCCGCGAAAAAAAAAACGTGAGATCAGAGTTTGGAATTCTTGTAAATTTATTAATGTCTTGTAATTAAAAAAATATAATTAAAAGTTCGCGGACGTGTCTACAATGACTCGAGGTTGCAGCACTGGTTAACGCGATACAACGGTAATCTTTGACTGCGCGGATATTTACAGCGAATAATGCAACGGTATTATAATCGGTTACGGCACGATTATTTACCGCCGATGCGGATGCGAACGTTGATTGCATACGATTCTCGGAATGCGGGAAGATGACGGCCGTTCGTGAGGAGACAGCATACTCATTGCCTCCTATGCTTGACCACAGCGTAGAGCACAGCAGTCAATTACTTCTGACCGAAATGACTGTCTCTCTACACTGTGGTT